GCTCGCACAGTTTCACGGATGCAACGCCATTCTTCCAGGTCATGAGCGAGGCATTTGCATTGCTATTTGTCGGTAGTTCGGGGCACGCCATGAGCGAAAATAATTATTTTGCTACCCTCCGTGTGGTGTTAGTTTGAAGTGTTTTTGTTCCACTGGCGTTCGCCCCATGGAACATCTGGAAATATGCGTCTTCCACTTTTTTCAGTCCGCAAACGGTATGCCAACAAAAGCACCGTCTCGACTTCATCTGTTGATCCCAAGGTTACTCACATTAGCCGGGATTTCTCATAATGATTCCAGGTTGGATGTCTAGTGATGCACATTCTAATAGTCGAACTGGCTTAAACTCCGATTTTCTCACAATGGAAATTCCATTGCTTTAGTTCTTCCAGCTATTTAGCCCTTAATGAGTTTGTCTTGGATGCAGGAACGTTGGTGCATATAAGTGTCAAGGCCACGTAGTTCCGTCTGCTCTTCGGTGATGTGGAAACCACGGTTATCGAGTGATTTAGTGACGTCTTCGTAGGTTGTATTTGGTCTTTCACCCGTTTTGCGACTGTACCAGGTGAGGCTACAGAGGTCACACTTCGATTATACCGAGTAGCAACATTTGCATAGGTGGCTCTGTCTATAGAGCGCTTCGGATTCGGTTGGTCAATCGGATGGGTGGGTGTTACCGATGTTGCATCCGTCGGTAGATTGGATAAGAGGATGTGGGCGGTGGGGCTAGGCATGCTTCTATCGGTCGCGATGACGAGTTGGTTCGTGGTTCCCAAGGTTTCTAGTACTGCGTGGCCAGGTGAACGCTTGACCCTTTTCCTTGGTTTCGAGGCAGCAACTGAAGGAGATGGACGAAGTGCAATATGCTCTATTGTCAATCCGAGCGCAGCAATTTTTGCACTAAAACGGTGTTCAGTTTCGGCGACTATGCTGTTATACTTTTATGTTAATGCTATTAGGCGTTTTACTAATGGAACCGGACAAAACCAAAATGAACCCGGCGTATTGTTTGAAAGGTCATAATATATAAGCAGAACTGACACCATTTGGATGAGAGTATCATGTAGCAACTACTCGAAGGGATAGAATATTACGGTATTCGGCCCACTGTGTTGCACAGCCCATTTATGTTGGTGACTCCTCAAATCAGTATTGCGGCTGAGTTGAACAATGGGGTAAACAGGCGACTAATTGATAAGAAGCTTATAATGCTTTGATTCGGGCTTACAAAACTAAAACTGAAAATGATAGGTAAATAGGGAAAACTCAGGTTTTAGTTGATTCAACAAACTATGCACATGAACGCTGATGCAGGATTCCTTGCCAGTACGTTGTACAGAGTGCTAGTGAGCACACTGTTTGGTTCGCGTCAGTACACCTTGCTACCAAATTCAAATAGCATAGCGCTCGTTAAAGCGTCTTTTAAAAACCGTTATTGTGGTAATCAAAATAAAGTGCGTTGTAAGGACGCTTCATGTTCGGGAAACTCAAAGGGGATAAATAATTTTACCAGCTATCAGCTTCAGCATCTCGTACAGTGGCTGAGTTGAAACAGGTCACGACAGGCGAGCTCGGGGCTTGCCACTATAAAGTACACCATGACGAGGTCATGTAGACCACGATATCCACCGTTGTGCAAGTCAGAGAACTGCAATCTGAGTCGGTAGGATGGGTGAAACCATCTGCTAACAAGGTTGATCGTCCTACGCGTTAACTACCTGATAGTGCCAAGATGCAGGTTTGAAAAACCTAATTCACATAAGGGCACACATATGCGTTCAACCGCGACGGAAAGATCGAAGGCTTGAACTACCCGAATATATTCCTTAGGAGAAGTAAATGATGACTGGCTCTTTTCGGTGCATTTTCTGACTGTCTCAAGCAGCCTCGTCTAACCTACAAAATCACTTGTAGAAAGATTTCCAGCGTAGCGCTTATAAACTGAAGTGCACCGTTGCTGAAAAGTCCAACAGCGATAAACGTTTATCCAGCAAACTCAACCCAGCGAAAATTACAGCAACTTTGGCAAGCCAAACTCCTTGATATAAATAACAGAGTATCCGTTATTAAGTAATGTTAAGGATACGTGTGCCAATTCACTGCTGATAGTATTTTCGGAGCGAATTTTACTAACTGTCGCAAAGGTGGTGCGAACCAATGCTCGTGTATAGTTTCCAGAACAAAAGCTGTTAAAGTTTAGGTACTATCTTGTCCAAGTGGGCTTACGATACAGGGATCCACTGCGCGTACCGTCTGGATTCCTCTCTAGCTTTACATCCAAAACATGCAACCTGTTATCCATTTCCGTTACCATCGTGAATTTGACTGCTGGTTGGCACGCGTTTAGACCATCGAGTGCGTTGCCTGCAGAGCAGTATCAAACATAACAAATGTGCCGTCAATTATCTACAGCATAAGTGCGCGGTTTGTATGCAATCATGTAGTGAGGTGTTCTCCAAGTTGCCCATGAAAATAGCAGCCAGGACCTGACCAAGTGGGCTCCCTTGACCACATCATCTATCTGGCGATAGATTGATACATCGAATTGGAAATGAATGTCTTCTGTGCACAATCTCAATAGAGACTTAAGATGCTGCGCTGGAAATCCCACTTTGTCAGCGTGAACGCCGATGATAACTAAAGTCTCTTCCAGGGGAATGGTAGTGAACAACGATCACACTTCATAAGAAACCACGTATCTCCTTTTTATGTTTAAGCCTTGTATTTCGTCGACGAATTCGAATGTACCTTTGTTAGTATATCCAGTAAGTTCACTCCGAATAGGCTGGATAAGCTGAGCTAGCAATTGTGCCAGGTTCTGATATGGTGCGTGTACCATTGAGACAATCGGACGCAGGGGATGCTTTCTTTGTGAGTACTTGGTAAACCGTACACATGGGAAAGCTGAGATCCGCGTGGGCGAAGCTGTCATCGTTTTAACCTCAATCAATCCAGCTTTCAATAGCTGTTCCAGTTCATTAACTATAGCCTTTTCAACTTGTTCGGTTTTGTCACGACCTGTCAATGCACGAGTGAAGCGGCTAGTGTCTGCAAGAATCGGCTATATTTTTTGGATATGGTCTTGCTTATCCATAAGACTACTTCTGCTCCCTTGTCAGGTTTCAGTATTACTAAGTTCCCACTTCGGCACAGGTTCATCAATGGTTTCCAGTCATTTGTTGTTAGAATTCTGCATTTTTCGGTTTCAGTAAGGCATATTTGGTTTGCCAAATCCACTACCTCAGCTTTAAACCAACCGCACGCGTCGTCGGTGGCTGGTGCGAAGCTGAACAGTTGATCGTACAACTTTTCGAACCGTGCCTCAATTCCTGTTTTGTCACATTTCTTTGGCGGCACTGAAAATTGGAACCCTGGTGATAGGGCTTCAAGTTGAGAGCGACTTATTAAGACAGTGGACAAGTTAAACAGGTATTTCTTAGGATCCCTCGGTATCTGTTCGTTGAAGCACCCTGGTGACATGGCGTTCAGAAGATGTTATTTGGTTGCCGATCGCGTTTTGAAGGGTACTTACCGAAACAAATTAAAAAACTTTGCCCGACACACAATATTTGGACTGCTCAGAAGTTGGTCGGCACATCTTACGCTGATGTTTAATTCAACAATACATTGAGTAGAAGCTTTAATGTGAGGTCTAGTTAAACGGCGCAAATTTCGTGAGTTCACAGGTACTTAGTCGTCACTGTCTTTAGGAACTGACATAGAAAAACGAGTGTCCGAAGACATGCAGTATAAACTTCTACACGAGCAAACTCCCGTGAGATGCAACAACGTAAATGCACCAAAGAATCCAACGACAGCAATGTATCTGCAGGGAGGCGTTTTTTAAGAAATTGCATACAGGATTTTCTCTCGACTAATTTTAAGATAGTAAGACGGAACAACATTTCAACAGGATACTCTGAATAAACATATTTCAGGTATTTTCATCAGCTATTAACCTACAACCTGTGGAACGTGATGTTGCGTTTATAAAACGGAAACCTCGTTCAAGCTCATCCAATTTAAATTTCCAACAAGCAATAGCTAGATTAGCAAGGCAAGATGAGACTAGGCATAAACTCAGTCTGGTTGCATCAATTGGGTTTCAGCCGCCGAATTGCTGAAGCTTCAGCAAACTGAAGCAGACGAAGATTGCTCTGTCGGTTAATTATTCCGAACGGTTCATGGGGATTTGTATAAACGATACAGTCTGGGATGTATTGGGTAAAACGTTTATTACACTGCTGTTTCAAGTGAACCGAAATGATAGAAGGTACCGGCACACTATCCGGCAGATGATAAAGATGTGTCATTATGCGGTCGAACTTGTGCTATTGCACCAGGTATTGAAGTTGTATTGTAAATCCAAACATGACAAGCCAGACCCACTAGTTACCGCCTCATGTGCTCACTACTGTCATTGTAGTTGTGGTAGCAAATTTGTGGGCCGATCAAAGAAAAGGCTGCCAACCAGGATTTCAAAGCCCATTCCAAGTAATATGGTCGCGAACGATTCCCAGGCTGCCAGCAAGCTCCAGTGCCCAACACATCCCAGTGCTTCGTGAGCTACGTAGCACAGGCCAGTCCGGGAAAGCACCAGACGTGTTTCGCCGTATTGGTGCTCGGCAGTGGTACGCATTCCCTCGGTCCCTTACTGGGGATCGAACCCATGACCGCGAGAGGCGGATGCCAACTAGCCAGTAGCTTAAGCCACTGAGCCATGGGGACGTTAGCTGGGCTACATAGTTTGCAATCTAACTAGGATATAGTACCACCTATCTTCTACTGTCATTGACAACGGCTAGCCTGCAAAATGATGACCTCTTGCTGACGCTAAATCCATGGCATTTGAAACCAGGAAAGGCTATTTATTTTATATTACTCGTGAGTAGCAGCTGACGACCCCATGGCTCAGTGGCTTAACCTGCTGGATAGGAGGCATCCGCCTCTAGCGCCCATGGGTTCGATCCCCAGTAGGGGACCGAGGGAATGCGCAACACTGCCGAGCCCCATCAGGGCGAAACGCATCTGGTGCTTTTCCGGATTGGGCTGTGCTATGTAGCTTGTGAACTGCTAGGAGGAAAACCTCAACAAATGGACAGTATTGGTTTATGGCCTTGGATCTGACTTATCTGCTTTGACGGTAGCTAAATTACGACTGGAAAATGCCCACGACTTGATGCTACATCAACTCAGTGAGTATGTATAACAGGGGTGGCAGAAGAACAGCAAAGTCCTGATGAGTTTATCCAGTAGTACGCAATTCGAGATGCTGGTTACATGGTGCGTGGTTCATCGTTTGTAGCTCCACCTCAGATTGTGAACAAAATAATCGCCTGCGCACATGAGGGACACCAAGGTATCGTCCCAATCAAACATCGAGCAATGCTTCACTTCTGATGGCTACAAATGGCATTTAGCATTGAGACATTTTTGATGAACTGTAACACTTGCCGATTAGGGGACAAAAGTTCTTTGTCGGTTGGAACGCCGCTACAGCCAATAACGTCTACCCGACCAAAACGTGGGCTAAGATCGCTATTGATATTACGAGTCCTTCCACCACCACTCCCGCGAATAAGAAAACTCTACTTGTTGCTACATAAGTTTACACTAAGAGGTATGAAGTTCACAAGTGAGAACAAGTAAAACCTCCGTTGTGTAACTCTGATGCAATCATTTGTGAAACCTTTCTGGACCACCTGAAGAGATAATCACGACAATGGAACACAGTTTTGTAGCTACGACTTCACAGCTTTCCTATCGTGCCCCGACATAAAACATCTCAAAACTTCACCTTACAATCCTGCTACCAATGGTATGGTCGGGCGAGTAAATTGATCCATACAGGACATCCAATTAGGAGAGTCGGATTGGGAAAGAAGACGACAAACCACTGTCACCAATCATGCGTCGTCGCATCTTAAAAGTAGACAGCACCAATACTGAAGGTCACTGCGGAATTACAGAGCCACTCCGCCACCATTAGTGACTCGGTGGCGCCGAACAACGGACCTACCTGGCAGTGCGGGCTCTATGTCACTTAACTTGAAGCGTATAGTGTACCGGAAAACACACATTCATTATTTTGCAACATTGGAGTTCACTGTTGTTTCAACCTTCAAAAGCTCCACTTGTTTACTGACGACACTTCCGTTGACACAAATAGTTTTGGTGAGTACCTTGCTGCACCGTTTCTCGATCTGGTTGGTTCGCTTTCTACTTTTGTAGTTTACACAACACACATTGGATTCAGTCGCCTCCAACGTCTATACTGTCTTGTATTTGACACGGCTATTACGTGTCAATGATTACCGACTAGTATCCCAGGCGCCACTCAACAATTGGTGACCGCGGTGCAGAACATGCCGTCCACCATTTTGAATTTTTATTCTGGTGCGCTCGTTCCAATGATTATGTGATTCATTATTTGTGATCATATTGTTTGCTCATCTACCACATTTTTATTCGCCTTTGCAATGGATGATATAGAGGATAATCCATCTCGATACGTGGTTAACGCCGTCGAGCCTGTCCTGGTCAGTACAGTTGCGTGAGCCCCTCCACCTATTTGCGAGAATGCTTCTTCGTTGTGGTTTATGCACCTAAAATCCATATTTTTTTTACATTCGTAGGATTTATTCTGATTTTGCCATGTATAATCAGCTAATACCTCGTCTTTCTCAGAGGATTTCCTTGCATGTGAGAGGCATCATATTTTGCCCCCGCGTGTAATGAAATACGAGAATCTTCAACAGGCGAAGCACGCCTTCTGACAAGGTCCGTCTACAGCAATTATTTAGTGACCTGCGACTAGAAGATAGGATGCCTTCAGCCTTGTTGCGAGAAATGCAACAGCTTATCGGCACGTCCAATATGAACGTAGGGATTCTCCACGAGCTGTGCATGCAACGCCTTACTGAAAGCACTCCGGCTATATTTACAGTAGCAAGTGACCTGCGACCCAAAGCAATGGTAGATCTAACAGACCGCCTTATCGAACGTCACCAGTCAGAGAGTAAAACCAAAGCACCTAAGCAGCTTTGTGCTGGCGCAAACACACTGACACCCGCGACTAGCTAGCGGTCGGCAATGGACGCAGTATCATCACAGGTAGCATGGCTTCAGCGCCATATCGAAGAACTCGCTTTAAACAGTAAGCACCGCAGCCGCTCTGGATCATCGCGCCGTCACACAAAACCTGAGGCCTCAGGTTACTGCTTTTGCCACTTGCGTTTTAGCAATCAGGCCCGTAAGTGCGTACACCCATGTAGTTACTCCGTTACAGATGATCTGCCAAGCCGGTCTGTAATAGCCATGAGCGCCATCCGCAAAACTCAAAGTCGTCTCAACTACATAGGGATTATGCTCCCGAAAAACCAGTTTTTAATTGTTCCCGGGGCGGAAGTCAGCGTCATTCCCCTTATGCCACGTGAGCCTTTCGCTTCTTTGTCAACAAGCTTAAACGATGCCAATGGTACACCAATAGTCACCTACGGTCATCGGTCGCTTAAATTAGACCTAGGTCTGCGGCATACGGTCCGCTGGGTATTCACCGACGCTACAGTCCCCTTTGCCATTATCGACATTGACTTTCTCAGGCAGTTCCACCTCTGGGTCGATGCAAAACGCCAGATGATAGTGGACACTGCAACAAAGCTCAGTGTACGTGACATCACCACCGATGTCCCATCTATATCCCCGGTCTATGCATTTCCCCAGACCTCGCCAGACTACGCTGATCTCTTTTCTCAGTATCGCAAGCTAGTTCAGCCAATGAACGCAGCTTTGCCCGTGGCAGCTCAAGTCACGTACAAC